AATGTCACATCATGACGTGCTCGAAGCCGTTCACAACAATGTTAGCGTGATTCTATGCAACCATAGCAACTCGGAACGTGGCTATTTGACCGAATTCAAAGAGACATTGGCAAAATTGCTCAACGACAACAGCATCGAAATTCAACTCAGTGAAACTGATGCTGATCCACTGGTCACTTATTAATAATAACATTTTTTGTATCGTGGTTGAATAAATACAAACTGTATTTCAAATCAATTTACATTTCACAACAAAAAAAACTGAAACTAAAGCTTCGTTTACTTGGGTGGAATGTGTTTTATTTGAATAAATAACTATTTCATTCTGATCAAGAAAAATCTCTGTGTTCTCACTCAAAAGAAAAAAAGAAACAAATCTCATTTTGATTGATCTGAAATGATGAAAGGTGAATTAATAGATTTGATGATATTTGCGGATCACTGGATCGAACTGTGACGACGATCAGTTGTGATAAGACTGTAAAGAGAATCGTGACGTGCTGGGCATCGGTGTTGTACCAACGCCAACACTCGAAACCATAACGTGGCTGATGTCTTGACATCTCAAGATGTGTGATTTGAGATTGCGGTGCTCGATCATTAGTTTGGTGTGGCCGATGCGCTGGACGATGGAATATCCGGAGAATGAGAGCTATCTGATGAACTAGTTGAACGTGGATCTACCGTTGAACTTTCATTGGTAGCTGGTCTCGAATCAAGGTCAGGCGAAGGCTCACTTCTGGATGCAGCCGACGCACCTAAGGCGCCTGTTACAATATTCTAGAAAACAATAGATGATAATTTTAAGGCGTAACGCATTCGACGGCACAACACATAGATCCAATTTACTTCTCTGTGATCGACACTTGAGCAAACTGAGTAAAATATTTAGTTCATTTAATTGATTTATTCATATGTTCATCAAGTCAATTCTTATTCCTACATATGTAAAATATTATGTAATCACCTGTTGAACCAGAGCATTACCGCGCGGGGAATACAAAGACCAATGATTATAAAATTGCCCTAGGCTGGATGAACATGGTTGGCAAACATTGGCGACCACCAATGATTTGGACTGAAATCGTAATAAAGCGACAAACGAATGAAAACTAATGCAGCAACAAGAAAAATTGAAAAAAAAATGTTATAATAATATGCAGATACTTACTGGAATTTTATACACCATTTCCACGAATGTTGATAAGTTCACATT